TTACTGGTTTGACGGCGAATGCAAACTGTTAGTAGAGGAGAAGAATGCAGCACGTCCGAGAATGCTGCAACACCGCACGATTGAATGTGCAGCGATACAGACAAAACTCGGTTTTTCGACGAATGAAGGACTTGGACGGTAACCTTCTTACGAACTAGTGTGAGGTGATTGAGACGTGGAAGCACTACTATGATGAACACCTTAACGGTGATGCAGCAGAAAACGAAGGTGGCTCGGTAACAGACCTTGGAGAACGCGGAGAAGACGACAGGCTACTGGCCTCTGATCTTCAAGAAGTTGAGGAGATCGGTCGGCTGAAGAACAACAAAGCAACTGGTGTAGATCAACTACCAAGTGAGCTATCAAAATACGGTGGTGAAGCACTGGCTAGAGCGCACTGGGTAATTGCCAAGATTTGGGAGGAGGAGATATTAAAATAAACAAATACAGTAATAGCAGCGTAATGTCAGTTCATGCACTGTATTAATGATAATTTTGTCCTTTTTGGCAAGTAATATTACACCATATTTTTGACACGATTGAAGTGCATCCACTTTGATGTGATATCAAAATTATTTTTTGCTGTGCATTAGACAGTGGATTGTCCACCTCGTACGACTTGATCAAGTACAACACCTGATTGTATTACATTTACCATTGTATGAAGGATCAAAAACGGAGAGCGAACCTGTAAGCAGAGACACTTACGCTTAGTCCGCGGGATCAAAGAGAATCTCCTTCCAACAATAAAATCCTACAAACCGGTAATGTACAAGCCATCGCACTAGGGGATGTCCCAATGAGTGGGGAAGAAGAGCCCACCTTCAATTCACGATCTGTTAATGACAGGAAGTTGGCAATTCCACACTGAAAATAAAATTTCGTTTATACAACGAAATCGCTCGTTTGTTCTACGAATTTATTCGTTGTTTTCTGTAACGAAATGGATTTGTACATTGTATGAAGCTAGTTTCGTTAGAACTGCCATACTCGCTATGGCTACACCCAACCAGCGGTTCACAAGTGTTGGTTGTGGAAACCGAAAAATGTGGAGTGTGTTAGTGAGGATTGGTAAAAATAACTTCATCATTGGAAGGAATAAATATGACAAAAAAATAAAAATAGGCTTCAGACCGGACTCGACTCATGAACCTTGCGATCGTTAGATCTGTGCTTTATCCATCGCTCTATCTGTGCTGTGAGAAATAGTAAAGCTAAAGGAAAATAAGAAGCACTCATGGAGCGGTACTTCGATTTCTCCTGCTTTTTCTGCTGCTTGCCTGTATTTTTTTCTCTAACATAAAACCATCGTGACGAGTAATTTGATTTATTGTGGTAGCTTGCATGTATTGGTCAAACCGACAAAATTTCTAAAAAAAAAAAAATATCCCATCTCCAACACACAATCAGCACTTTAGGAGACAATAAGCGCAGTTGTTGGTTTGATTGTACGAAGATGTATTTGTATATTATACGAATAAGGCGTAATATTGACATTGCGCCAGATGACAGGAAAAACGAATGTTTCGTACCATTTATGAAAGATGTGTTGTATGTACGATATTCATTTTTACGAAACGGTTTTCAGAGAAATAACGAAAATACATTTTCAGTGCACTCTCCCCATCCAAATCGCTTCAATCGGGTGCCCTGGTTGGACCGTCCCATACCCAACATATAATGTGTCATTTCGGCGATTTCCAAGAGCTCCCATAGATTAGAGGACGATTTATATTCTTCTGCAGTTAAACAAAAACTTTCGGCTCTGAAAGACTCTCGATAGAACTACACGATGAAAGCGTGACATCCGAACACGGTGAACCGGTCTCCCAGGAGGCAATGCAATTCGCAGATACACTTACAATCACTGGTTATAAAAAAAACAGAAACGGATCCAATAATCGCCAAACTTTAAACACCACTGTATCCGACGGGGGTTCGAAACTGCAGTGGATGGAAAGTGTCGTATGCCCAATCTACAAAAAGGGCGACAAATTGGATTGCTGTAACTACCGCGCGATCACACTGCTGAGCGCCGCCTACAAGGTACTCTTTCAAATTCTATGCCGTCACCTGTCACCATTTGCAAGAGAGTTCGTGGGACAATACCAGGTGGGATTCATGGGTGCCCGCGCTACCACGGGCCACATTGTCGCGATTCTGCAGGCTCTGCAGAAATTGCGCGAATACAACGTGCCCACACATCATTTGTTCATCGATTTCAAATCCGTATACGACACAATCGATCGAGATCAGCTATGACAGGTTATGCACGAGTACGGACTTCCGGATAACTGACGCGATTGGTCAAGGCAACGCGATGGATTGAGTGATGTGCGTTGTTCGAGTATCGGGAACATTTTCGAATCTCGAAGGGGATTACGGCAAGGTGATGAACTTTCGTGTCTGCTATTTAACATCGCGTTAGAAGGTGTGATAAGAAGAGCTGGGTGGCACGATCTTCAGGAAGCCCATCCATCTTCTTGGCTTCGCCGATGACATCGACACCATGGCACGGAACTTTGAGACGATAGCGGAAACGTACATCAGACTAAAGGCTGAAGCTAGGCGGATTGGACTTGCCATCAACACATCAAAGACAAAATACATGAAAGGAAGAGATTCTAGGGAAGACAATGTTAGCCTCCAACCCCGAGTTCAGATTAACGGTGACGAAATCGAGGTGGTCAACGAATTCGTGTATTTGGGCTCACTGGTGACCGCCGAAAATGATACCAGCAGCAGGGAATGGTGCCTACTTTGGACTCCGGTGGACGCTCCGGTCGAATAAAATTCGCCGCCGCACGAAGTTGACTATCTACAAGACGCAAATCAGACCCGTGGTCCTCTACGGCCACGAGACCTGGACTATGCTCGTGGAGGACCAACTTGGTGTTTTCGAACGGAAGGTGTTGCGTACCATCTATGGTTGAGTACAGATGGATGACGAAACGTAGATGCGGCGAATTAACCACGAATTGCACCAGTTGCTGGGAGAACCATTCATCGTCCACATTGAAAAAATTGGATGACTAATGTGGGCTGGGCACGTCATAAGAATGCCGGACGATGACCCAGTGAAAATGGTTCTCGAAAGCGATCCAATAGGAATATGAAGAAAAGGCGCGCAGTGGACAAGGTGGATCGACCAAGTAGAATACGACCTGCGGACCCTTCGCAGACTACGAGGCTGGTGAAGTCTGGCCATGGATCGAGTAGAGTGGAGACGACTTCTTCGGACAGCAGAGGACATCAAGGCCTTAGTCTGATTGGTAAGGTACAGCTGCGTTCGATAAAATAGCAGCGCATGCCGATTTTCAAACAAAATGGTCAACTTTGACATGATGTAACTTTGTTAACTTATGATCAATTGAGCTGAAACGTTCGCCAAAGAACTGCAAATATGTTCAATTTTACGATTGCAAAACATTAAATTTTTGGAAGCACCTGCCGGACAGTGAGACACCAGGTAAAATTGTTCAAAATAATAGCAGCACTAATAATTTTCATTTCAGCTTAATTTTGAGATTTTAAATTTTACATTTCTCAAAATTCTAACAAATGTACATAATAGTTAAACATGTTTAAAATATTTGCAGTACGTAAATTTTCAAATAAAAACTGCTTTTATTTTGAACAATTTTACCTGGTGGCTCACTTTCTGGCAGGTGCTTCAAAAAAATATATTTATAATTCTTTTAGTCGATAGTTATATAACTCGATTGTCCCTTCAATATTGAGTTGACTGTATTGCAATTTAACTTTTTAACTTGATATTACAGCGATTTTTCTCGCAGTGTATTTATTTTTGGATATACTATATTATTAACTTCTTCTCAGACGCCATTTTAATCAAATAAACCGTTTTCATATTTTTATTATGAAAAGTAAAACTAAGACTTGATTGACTCGTTAACGCCGAAATCATGGATATTTGTGATGTTTTCTGCTCGATAGGCTTAAAATGGGCAAATAGGCCGAAGTAGTTCTCTACCCTATTATAAAAATTGTGAAAAATGTGAGTTTGCTTAGGGGCTAAGAGAGAGCTTTCATAGTAGTTATTCAATCATGCCTCCGAGAAGGTGGAACAGCAATTTTGAAATATCATTCCTAATGGTACCGTTAGAATCCCCAAGGTTTGTAAATTATGCTTATTCAATAATGTCAACGAATATTAAACTTAAATTGATTCAAATTTTGCTGAATTTTGACACAACATAAGACTATGGGAAGGTTTAGCAATTATGGTACGAACCAGTTATGGCTTATGGCAGTAAAAATGGAGGAGTGCCATAATGGGATAGTGTAATGACATAACTGGTACATCTACCGTAATATTTTTCCAAACGGATAAATTAATATCAGCCTGGAACCGCTGTGACTGCATAGACTTTTCACTACATGTCAAATATGGCAATATTTTGATTGCATCACTTTGTCAACACTGGAAGGATTCTTTCTAGCGCACCCGTTGAACCAAATCAAACAGAATTCATCATGCCCAAGTAACAAAGAGAAAATGTTTAGTGTTTCAATAATAATTTATTACCCTCAAACGGTAACGTACAAACAGTTCTGCAGTGCTCTACATTTAAAAACTCCGATGACTAATGTAATTAAAACGCGGTCTATAATTAACCTAGATAAATCAGTTCCTGCAAATAACCTACAATTTTCAGGTGAACCTCAAGTTCACCGATGCATACAAAATTTGGTCTGCTGCAGCCCCTCGGAACACAGTCCTACTCCCTTCGTGCGGATGAAGCAAACGGCTGCAGTATTAGGTTGATGGTTGATTTTTTTTTTCTCTCTCTTAATTTTGCTTCACTATACAACTTTTAAACAGAAGAGCACAAGGTTGATTGTGTGTTTCGCTGGCTGGTTTTACAGACGCACTGTAATCACCGTCAGCATAAGTCCCCTGTTGGTTTTATGTTCTTCCGTCATCGTAGCTGCGACAATTGGTGGAGTCATTCGACCTTGAACTTGGTATAGTTCAGTTCATGCATTTTGGTTTTCGTTTTTGCGAACCATTTTGGATGGAAAGACATTGTTTTCCGTCGTGTGAAATTGTGCTGAATGGGGGAGTAGGATTCTGCGCTTGGTTTCGTGACTTCAAAGCCTTAAGCTTTGTGGTGCTGGCTTGGCTTGCCCAGACCGAAGGAGAACTGCACCTGACGGAGGTTGTCGCGCTTTAGCTTGACGAAGCCAAGCTTGCCCTGATAACCGATTTCGTATCCGAGATGGAATCCGTGCTAGGGGGAAAAAATTGGGAATTGGTTAGCTATTTTATAATGTTTTGTTGAAAATCACACTTACTTTCGGAGATCCATACTGGTAATGATTTGGATGCCCTTGGTAATAGCCATGATGATGACCATGCCCAACAGCGTATGATGGAGCGTAGTACAATCCAGTAGGATGATTTCCATACAACCCATGGTCAAATGCATGTCCCAAACCGTATCCAAGTCCCAGCGTTGCAAGGGAACCCACTCCCTTGTGCTTTCCACCGTGTCCGAGTCCAAGGCGTGTAGCGTGGACTGCGGCCACACTTAGCACCAACAAAATAGCACTGGATAACTTGACCATATTGGAACCGTTTCTGGTGAAAACCTACCGAAGGACCACGAACTTACTGGATTGATGAGTGTGAAACAACTGATGGTATTGAACTGACTGTTCAAGGGTTTTATAGTGAAAGGTAATAGTAGGTTCATCTGTAACAATTTCGCTGCAAGGTGTAAGAAATTTCCCCACGTGCTGGACTGGGCCAACGGCGCGAGTAGCGCCCTACTGCAGGTCGATTCTGGTGGGTGGCCATGCTTCAATGAGCGAACATGGGTCGTGCGTTATGCGTACGGTGTGTATGTAAACGCATTTTTCCACTCCAGACGTCAGCCGGGTTTTTGATTTAGTGGATAACGCTTGCACTGTGGTGTTCAATTGTATTCGATTCTTCGATTCCGGAGAAGGAATGTAGGTTGGTACACACGTTCGATCGCAAACCTGTAGTTGTTCTTCGGTGGGGTTGCATTTGAAAGAGTTGTTAGTTCTGGGTTGCACCGCGGTAGCAGCAGCAGCAGCAACAGCAGCAGCCGCTGCCTTGTCTTGTAGTGTTATGTATGACTATCTAGTTTCATGTAATAATTTGTGAAACTGATTGACCCGATAGGGCATGGGGCTGTTTTGATAGCAGTGATGTATGTTTGGTCTAATAAGACATGAAGTGCACTTACTTATCAGGTACTGCGATATTGTCGTGATTTTTTATGTATAACCTGCGGTAATCAGATACTAATGAGACGCAATTAACACTATTTTGTTTTACGATCGTTAATGGATGCTCACCTGCACTGTTGATTCAGTTCACTTCAGACGCGTGGTAAAACTGTATCGTTTTGTTTACGTACTGAGCAACTTTGGAGCGTTCCACACTGACCGATATCCCAGTTTCCAATAGGGAATCTGGGTAGCAGGTGCATTTCAGTAGTAAAGTAAAGTAAAGCTGGTGCATTTCAGTAGTAAAGTTTGGTGAATCAAGAAAATCACGGTGAAGGTTTGTTGAGTTGATAGAACAGCAGCAATTCTAAACAATTCACAAAGTTCTAGGCCCAAGCAAGAAGAACAACAACCTCTATAATGACATCAAAGACGTCGAAGGAGCGCTTAATTCAATTAAGGCAGTGGCTCGTGAAATCGAATGCAGATGTAGATCAAACAATAATCAGTGAATAAAATTTTACTGTGCATTAATTTCTTAACAATTCCAGAACCTCAAAGTATTTGTCGGAAGCGTAAAAAAAAAACATTTTCATATTTTTAGGTGGTTCTCTAAGGAAGCCTCATCTTCATCTACAAGCGCAGACATGTCAGCTCCAACAAAAGATAATGAAACTGAAACTCCACGTTAGCTGTAGCGTAACAAACAGGGGTCTTGAAAAATTGGTCCAATTAGCAAAATTATTATTATATATTTCTGAAGGATTTCATTTGGATCATTCCAAAGTATCTGCAGAGTTACTTTCAGGATAGCAGGTAAAGTCCAGTTTCCTCAAGAATAGTCCTATCAATTCCCTCCAAAACAATCTGGAAATTCAGTTTGCATTCTTTACAATTATTTCGAGAAGTAGCATTAATTTATCTCCATATTTTTCTTAAAATTCCTCTGAAATCTCTTGGTATGTTCTTAAGGCTCTGTTGTATCTCAGAATTTAATGAGAATTTTCCTCAGAATTCCCTTAAATTTTATCTCAAAACCGTACCCGGATACCCAGCTCCCATTTTAATAACATTAAATGTTATAAATTAAAAATATGGATCACTTCCCGAATTCCCATGTGTTACTGAAAAGACGCAAAATACCATAGAGGTAACACTAAGGTCAGAAGGTTCCGAAGAAACGTGCTCAACTTTTTGGCTCAGCTGATGCACCCTTCGAAACATAGGAAAATCGACGAACCCCTCATTTTATCTGTCAAACTATGATAGCGAATCAAAACAAACATAGTGTAGTACTAGGGTTTCGACTAGAATAGGGTACGCTTATAGATGTACTTGGGACCAATAGGCTAGTCGAGTAGTGAACCAATTTAAAATCGTTAAGTTTCCACCGGTGATACCGGTAATACCGTCGCCCGGTGAGAAAGGTACCTAAAATCATTTGTGGCATTATTATTTAAGCTTGTAATCAATTAATAAATTTAGTAAAGGAAAAGGTGTGGTAAACAGTATAAGCTTTCTCATGCATTCTTACACGCCTAGGCTGACCTCATGACATTATACTACGTTCAGACTATAGTTCATGTTGAACAATGCATTAGGTCCTAAGTAACATTTACAGATTATCTCCATCGATTTTCTCTTTGCATCCTCACGGTCATGTTAAGACTTCCCCAGCAGTCTTCATAACACAATTCGATGAAAGAAGCTATCTTGCTTCTAATACGACAAACACGACCAGAAACGATTCTGTGTCCAAGTTATAAATGAAAGATTAACAGAATCGATCAATGTTACTTAAGGCCTAATGCATTGTTCAGCTTTAGTTGATATCACGTTATATAATCTTATATCAAGAAAGCCTATATTACGTAATATCAGCTATAGTCTGAACGTACTATAAGCTTAGAGGCGACCAAACAAATAAAAGAAAAGCAGTTTATATCTGCCATCCCTCTTTACATACCAGAATGGCAACTTACAGGGAGCAAACTGGCAACACGCTAAGAATCGTTAACCAAAATTTGAGTAATCGATTTACCAGACCGTTCTCGAGCAACATGTGAAAAAGCCGTACAAGCCAAACGAAAACAATGCTTTTAAACGTCGATTGTTCACGAATTACAACACGCCTGAACAAACTAACTATTTCATCTGATAGAGCAAACTATCTCTAAGATGCTGGTGTCGATTTACCAGAATAAGTATATATTTACTAGAAATCGACGTTTAAAGTCATTGTTTACATTTGTCACATGCAGTGCTGGCAAAAATAAAATATACACTTCAAACAAACTAACCATCTTGTTTTTATCTAGTTCAAATTGACAAATAGGGTATAAGTATGTTCTGAGTAAATGATGGTATTAATTATCTTTATGGGTGCATATAAAAACAATAGCAGCCCCAGCAGATTTTACACCCGGAAATCATTAACTTTTATTCATCCGTTTTTAGCTGGCAAATAAAATATACAAACAGGAGATTCCCGAAAATTGAGCAAATATAAGGATCAAATGGCAGTGTAGTACTTAGGCTGTGTTATATTTGATGCTTCGAAAATAAATTAATATGTTCGAAATGCCTCTCTCCGGTTTTCGAAAAGGTTTTTGTCAAAATTGATTCCTTGTCTGTCAAAAATAAGTCTGTTGGAATAGTAGGTTTATTTGAAAAAATTTCATCTGTCAAGTTTAAGTGAAAAATCGCCAAATGGAACACAGCCCTAGTTGCCCTCCCTTAGCACTGATGGTTGCTTCGACTCGACTCGGCATACTTTCCACCAGGTTCTGAAGGTGGTGCTCCGAAATGTTCTCCCAAGCCGCAGTATGCTTGGGGTCGTTGTTTTGCTAGAATATGTAAATCATCCTCAAGCTCAACTTTCAACATCGAAACCTCCAAGTTTTCGCTCAAAACGTCTATATACGTTGGCATCCATGGTTCCTTTAAGGTTCTCCAACATCAGACCAAACAAAGCATCCCTAATAAAAATAACCATAAAAAAAGAGCTTAACGACGTGTTCGGTGTATCATCCAAACCATTTGTGGGATAGTTTACCCATCCGGGATACAGTTCGTTTATGGTATTTGTTTATTAGGGATCCCAAACCATAATGTTACCACCTCCGTGCTTCACTGTTTTCTGGACATTCTTGTCCAAAAGCTCCTCACCCTTTTTATCCAGACTCTAGATCACTGCTTGTGCACAAACAACTTGAATTTGCTCTCATCTGTCCACAAGACCTTTTTCCAAAAGGAAATCGGTGTGTCGACATGTTTTTTTTTTTTTTGACGTAAGACTACGTCTTTAATTTCTATACTGGGGATCACATGAAAAAAAATCAAAATTCAGACATGTAGCGAAAAATCCCAAACACAGACGCAACGATAGAGCGCCATTCGAACAAACGACACTTTGCGCATGCTCACATGAGCGAGCTCAATGCTCGCTTGATCGCTCACCATTTCACAAATGAAAGGAAGGGAGGAGAAAAGCAGCGATAATAAAAACGCTTGCCAAATCGTTTTCTTCGTCATTTGCTTTCGAGCAACGGATGAATAAGCGTCGGACACGACGTAAAGGGTTATACGGTCAAAATTTGGTCAATATCAACTTGACGTATTTCTTTCAGTTTTGCATTTAAAAAACCTGAACACCCCTCATTTTGAAGGTGTGTGTGTGTAGAATGTTGCTCCTATTTTGATTTTGGAATTCACTCTTCAGTTGTCAAAATGCCGTCCAAGCAAGAAGAGCAGCGTATCAAAATTTTGCTCGCGCATCGCGAAAATCCGAGCTACTCGCACGCAAATTTGGCAAAATCGCTAAAAGTTGCCAAATCAACCGTTACAAATGTAATTAAAGTGTTTGGGGAACGTTTGTCGACAGCCAGGAAGTCTGGATCGGGGGGAAATCGAAAACCGGAAGCCGCTGAGACGACAAAGAGAGTTGCCGGTAGTTTCAAGCGAAACCCTATCCTCTCTCTCCGAGATGCCGCAAATAAGCTGGGTGTATCGTCTACAACCGTGCATCGAGCCAAAAAACGAGCCGGACTATCGACTTACAAGAAGGTAGTGACTCCAAATCGCGATGATAAACAAAATACGACGGCCAAAGCGCGATCCCGGAGGCTGTACACGACGATGCTGACGAAGTTTGACTGCGTGGTAATGGACGACGAAACCTACGTCAAAGCCGACTACAAGCAGCTTCCGGGACAGGAGTTTTATACGGCAAAAGGAAGGGGAAAGGTAGCAGATGTTTTCAAGCACATGAAACTGTCAAAGTTCGCAAAGAAATATCTGGTTTGGCAAGCCATCTGTACCTGTGGCTTGAAAAGCAGCATTTTCATAGCTTCCGGGACTGTCAACCAAGAAATTTACGTGAAAGAGTGTTTGAATAAACGTCTGCTGCCTTTCCTGAAGAAACACGGTTGTTCCGTACTGTTTTGGCCGGATTTGGCATCTTGCCATTACGGTAAAAAGGCCATGGAGTGGTACGCCGCCAACAACGTGCAGGTGGTTCCCAAGGACAAGAACCCTCCCAACACGCCAGAGCTCCGCCCAATTGAGAAATACTGGGCTATTGTCAAGCGGAACCTAAAGAAGACCAAAA